GTTGAAATTGGGGAAGAAATAACAATTTGAAAACTGCACATTTTATTATGTTTCTTGCAAATTTCGGAAATTATATATATATGTGGTATGCAGATCATTAAAAAAAATTTACATATACCAATCAATATATGACATTAATTAGTTTTGATTTTCTTAGAATGTCGCACACCCCAGTCAATTTTCCTTTTTCTGTGTAACAAATTTTGATTTTGCATTTACACAAAATGAGTTATTTACCTCGGAGGTGGTTTTTGCTGTAGACAGTCCCATGTTATTTATTTACATTGATATATAAATGTATAAATAAAACCATTAATATTCATTAATAAAATTTTCTTTTCTTTTAACCTATATATTACATATTAATAACATCTTCATCAGATCCTTGTAATGCATTAATAAATAAATATATAAAAAATAGATGAAATAAAAATTAATGGAGCTAATCTTTAAAAATATTAAAAAACCCAAATTAATTCCATTTTATTAATAGCCATTCTTGAAAAGAGTCTGTTACGCGAATTTGTTTTTGTTTGAAAATATAAATTTTGTTTGATACAATCTTCTATTTCATCCAGCAATGTATTTAATATATTAATATTATTAGGTAAATGTTTATTGAAATAATCTTTAAAAAGCAAATTTGAAGTTAATACTTTTCTATAAACAAATTATGTAATTTAAAAAAATAAACATTTAAAGGTTAGAAATTAGAACTTAACTATTGCATTTATTGTTATTATGTAAAAAAAATTAGCCCAAAGATTGAGATTGTGCATGTTATCCAATTTCTTTAATTTATTATTATTATAGAACTTATAGAACTGGTAGACCAACTTCATGTTAAGATTATCACTTAGTGGTATATGTTTACCCTGGCAAAAATACATTGAAATAAAGGTTTTTTCATATATTTGTTATTTTTTATGATTCAAATAACAATTTGATGCAAGTTTGTGTATGAAAGCACGATTTTTTTCTTATAAAATTCCATGTTGATCAAAAAAAATTTATTGAATGTCGGGAGTTTAAAACACTAATTCTGAGTTTAAAATGTATATTCCTTTATTTCTATTATTAAATGTTACATCTAATAAACAAGAAATTTTGGAATGTCAGTTGGAAATTTTGGAATGCCTGTTGGAATTTTGGAATGTCTGGGAATTTTGGAGTGCCAATTTTTATATTTAGTAGTGTTTTAACAAACAATAAGAATGTTTTTATTGTTATTTTATTATTATTTATTATTTATTATTATCATTTATTATTTTTTTTTAGTTAAAAAAATTTTCATGTTTTTTGAATAAAATATTATCAACTTATTTTTATCAATTCATTTATTAACTATGTAGCAATTTTTATAATAAATATTTTTAACATTAATATTATTGGTTTGGTTGCTATTATTATTAGAAAGATCTCTATTTATTGTTTGAGTGTTGTTATTGATAGCATCATTGACGATTTCTCTTAAGGGTGAGCAAAATGGTTTATTTTTATATGGTCAAGTAACATGTGTAAATTTCTAAAATAATATAATATAATTAATACAATAAAATAGAAATCCATATACTTGTGTGCATATTATCATATACTTACACCTAATGATTTAACACCACTGCCTTTATCACTCATGTCATCCGGCTCCTGTTTGAAAAAATGGAAATAAGATTATTTTGAATGAATGAAATATATATATATATATTTACATCAGAATTATCCTCATCTTCGATATCTTCAGGCTCTTCATCATCAAAAGAATCAATAAATTTAACATGTTTCTAAAGAAAATGCAAAATATAAAAAATAAAATATATATGTAAATATTAATTTTTAGAAGATTTAAAATGACTTACGTCTGAACCTGTATTTTTTTGAGGTGTTTTATTCAAAGTTGATGATTCTTGCAGTGTTAATGCCATTTGAAGAACATTGCTTATTTTACTAGCTTTTTGATATATAGTGGGTGCAATATATGATCCCATGCCCTTGAGACTTTTATGACCAGAGATT